AAGATCCATCATCTGGTTAGAAACTCCTATGATTTCTGATTTGAAATCTAGGATCTATCAAGACACTCCTGGATATCTTCATATCAGGAAGATGCTGAAGACATTTCCTTTTATGGTTTGTTTTTAAGCAGATTCTATACTGGTTACTTGTACTACCAAAGACATTGATATACATTTTGTAATAAACTTCAATTCAATGAGTTGACAGTTCACTTGGTTTTAATTTTGATAATCTAAATGATTGAGAGAAAATATGGTTAGACAAAAAGAAATGAGTGGTGAGCTGCAACATAATATTTACTTTCCCATATGCCAGAAGCTCCTCATTATCTAATGAGACCTTCCATCTTGACTCTACACTTACAACCAGAAAGAGACAGTTACAATTTCATGGACATATAAAGAGAAAAGAAAGCTTAGAGAATTTAACATCCACAGTATATATTGAAGGTGAAATAGCTTGTAGCCTACTTAACAAGTTTGCAAGAATGGAAGATACTGAAAGAACATAAGGCAGGAAGATGTAGAGAGCAATGATTGCTTGCATCCTGGAAGAACATGCATATAAAAGAAGGCAAGGGTAGAGAAGATAGTTACAATGATTTTGTGTGCTTCTGTTTTGAGAGTCTTCGATTATAATGATTTCCTTTTCCTTTCTCCAAGTCTCACATGCTTTCAAATCAGCCAAATGATTTCCATTCCTGGATTGCACAATTCCTATTCACAATTGGCTTTTGAATGGTTGGAGCCATTCTTTCTGTACTTTTTATATATTGAACTCTAAGTGCAATAGTCCAAACATTTGGCATTTGAATTACTAAATTGGGATGGGAATCAATGTTTCTATGGAGTAAGCAAATTCTTGTTCAGAATGGAGCATCATTGCATAAAATGTAAAAATGTATTGATAGATTTCTTCTTTTTTTTTTTACTTGATAGGAATTATTTTAACATCTGATACATCTTGTTTTCCAACTTTAGATTGATTATAATTTCATCAAAGGTGCTTCATGAGAGTTTTAAAAATGCCTCACTGCACTTCTGGATAAATTATTGATAATTGAAATTTAAAAAAATCTTTCTATTAAAACAAGTTTTTTTTTCAGGAAAATAGGTTTTTATGTACACTGTTATTGCTATTTCAAGTATTAATGGGGGCTTCCTTCTTAACCTTTTCTTTAAAGTTGTGTGGAACATCAGAATCTTGATTATGTCATTAATTTTGTTTCTCATTCTTGTTTTCTTTTACATGAACTTTACTACTTTTTAATTTTCTTTTTTCCTTACTTTTTTTTTCTTTCCGTAATTGCATTTGTAATTCTTTAGTTTAATTTTTCTTTTATATTTATTTTTTTTTAATTTGTAATTTATTTTCTGTCTCATTTTGTTTGCCTTTCTTCCATAAGCAAAACTTTATTTTGAAAGTTTTATTTGTATGTTTTTGTTTTGCCTAAAGGCTGGGCAGGATTCCCTAGAAATAGCTTTAGCAAGACAGGTTCTGGAGCATGGGGCTAGCAAGAACTACCAGGGTCAGACACAAGTTAAACAAGATGTCTAATGAAGCTGTGAATATTAATGCAGAATTGCACAAGGAAAAATCTGCTGAGTTTCCAATTGATATGTTCACGAGATCAATACCCCAGAGGCGCATATTCTGAGGCTGACCAAGTACATATGTGAGGCAATTTCGGTGGCATTTTGAGAATCAGTTTACCAAGAAGCCTGGTCTCAGTGGTAACAAGTTTCATAGTTATTTGGCTGACTTTCCTCAGTTTGAGCTGACTGATATAGCTAGCTGCAAGGGAGAGATCAGGGGGCAAAGTTCACTTGGCATTGAAAAGAGTCAGCAGTAGCAAGTCTCTGATGTTTTTATGGTCTTCCCTATGAATTGTAATTGAGACTGTTGCACCTCTTTGTTTTAATTTTGACAATTGTACTCACCAACTGGTTCTGACAAGAGTCTATTCCCAAAGGAATCTCCAAGGCTGTGATCACGCTGTTGAAAAAGGGCAAAAGGTGTTTGGAAAGAATTATAGGCCCATAACTCTGCTAAATACAGAGTTAAAGATTTTGACCAAGATCCTCATGGAGCATTTGCAGTCAGTTGTCGTGTGCTTGTTTTCCAATAAGCTTGCAACATTAGCTGACTTGTGCTGTGAAGGGACAAACAGTTCAAAACAACCTGCATCTGATCTGCATGATACTGAAGAGTGTAGATGATGATGACAAAGCCATGCTGATCAATTTGGATCAGTCCAAGGCATTCAACAGGGTCAACCATCTGACTGCTGTCTGGCAGGCTGAAGGATTCAAACCTGACTTCTGCAAGTGGATCAGCTTTCTGCATCACCCAGTGCTGTGGTACATGTAAATGGAAACAGTTGAGCGCATTTGTGCTGTCATAGTCAGTTTGACAGGGTTGTTCATTGTCACCCTTACTTTACACTTTGGCATTGGAGCCCCTCCTTCACTGGCCAAGTGACTGGGCATGCAGTTCAGTTCTACAAGTAACACTGTCCCTGGAGGAGATTGAATTATGGTTTCTGTGTATGCCAATGACGTATCTATTTCCGTGCCATGCATAGTGACATTCAGTGGTACAGAAGGTGGTATGAAAAGGTGATGTGTGCCAAAATTAACTATGAGAAGTCATCCAGCTTGTGGTTAAGTGCCTGGAAGATGGTTGCGCTTCTGGGGCCCTTTATGTATGCTTGGAGTATGGTTCAGTCCTGGTCTCAAGCTGAAGAAAAATTGGTTCAAGGTACAATCAAACATTGGAGTGGCAGTCCAGACTTGATTCAACAGTGGTTGTCCATAAAGGGTAGAGCAAGGGTATGTGCATCGTATGTTTTTCTTCTTATCCTTTATCGAATGCCTGTACTTACTCTCTGCAAGAACGGAAAGAAGGTGCTCGATCACTTGCTGTCAACTCTTTTGTGTGGTGGTCACAAGCATTTAGTCTGCAGAGAGACTGTTACCCAACATTCGTGTCATGGATGGACTGGGGGATGCCACACTTGTGCCATCACACACTTTAAGGTTAGCTTTCATACACCATGTACTGACAGAGGACTTGATTTTGAAGAGCAGTGTTAGGGACGCCTTCCATAGCTTTACCATCCACCCCAGCATTTCAGAGGAAGAGTGCCAACATAAGACTCTGAATCAATCAAGATTCCTGCACTAATGTCAGGTGACCTTGAAGGCCATTCTTCAGTCCAGTGAACTTTCATAGCCTCATCGGCTATTGCATCATGAACTAGTGGAGGGGGTCATGACAGACTATGTGGCCGGCTCAGCTTGTAGGTATCAGAGTTGCACTGTTTCTGGTCTTGTGTGCCAACAGTGGATTATCTCAGCAATCCAGAGTTTTTGCTTACTTGGCGATTAATTTGGAACATTTTATCTCTCATTGACATAGACTTCAGAGGGAGCTGGGTGGATTTGCCTGACTGTCATCTGCTTTGCATGCCTTTTACCAATGTCCTCAGGTATGCCCTTTCTGGGACTATACTGGCAAGTTGAGAGCTGAATTCACACCTGATTGTCTCATGTCCATCAATCTTGCATACATAGGCCATAATGTGTTGCCACCATTTTCTGGAGTGAAATGGATGGTGTTTCTCACATTGTTAGCGGTGTAAAGAATGATCGTATGGACAGTGTGAATGGAGGAAATCTTGTGATACAAACACTATTCTGATTTAGTCAGAATCTTTAAGAATCGGCTCAAGATGTAGATCAGAACTAATAGAAACCGTTTGTTATCGACAGATTTCAGCAAAAGGTGGGTAACTGTAGCAAGCCTGTTTTGTGTAAACAGGGTTAACCTTGATTTTCTTTAAGTTCCCTTTGATGCCACAGGGCAGTTTCCTGTCAAACCCTCTTCCTAGTTAGACTATTTGTTTTTCTAGTTAATATGAGTAAGTGCTGCACTCAACCTGCTCCCAGCATTCTCTTTTTTTATGATCCATGTTGAGATTCCCAGTTTGTTTATGGCCCCTTTTTATCTCAGCTGGGTTAGCCTTTGTCATTTAATTCTTCCTTCCCACTTCATTAGTGAGTGCACTTCTTGATTCTGTCAAATGGCAGAATACTGTGGCCACTCTTATCATTTTGAGGGCTGGATGGGGCCTACTCATATATATTATGAGTTTATTTTTGGGTTTATCCTCTCATCTCATGAATCATTAAATTTTTATATATTTTAATAAGTAAAAAAGAAAAAAAGGAAAATTTGTGGTATTGTGGTACATATAGTATTGAGAGGTGATGGATGAGTTCTTATAGTAAATGAGTAAATTGTAATGAATGAATGGGTCATGATTGTGATTAACTAGCACTAGGTTAGCTAATGAAGACCAGCATTTCCCCACCACCCTTCTCCTTTGGCCTTGTGCCACAATTTTGTAATTTATTACAAAATAACTATTCATTCCCAATGAATTGAAATCAACAATTTTTTTTTTCAATTTGGATATGTTATCCATTTTAGTTGTTGCTGCTGTTCAAAGCCCTCAAATGATGTGGTTTGGATTATTTGGTACAGTCCTTTGTGATTCTGTAGCACTAGTCCATGAGTTTTGAAGAAGGATTGTCCTTGGTAAAACCTTCTAGAGTAGATGTCTGCAGCTGATATTTTTTAGATATTTCTATAGAAATTCATGGCCATGCCTAGCATTCATATGAAAGTCTTGATCTACTAAGGTTATTTAAGAAAATGATTTGAGCTTTTCTTGTGAGTGCCATGAATAATTTCTCTCTGTGGCCTTTGCCATTGGCTGTTATATTTATAAAACTGTCTAATCTCTGGCATGCCACAATAGTTGACCATTAAGAGTGGTTAAATGTAGACAAACTAAACTCATAATAACCACTCAAACAGTAATAACTATAAATCATTGTTATCTCCATTAACAACCTTGACAAGGATTTAAAGCACACATACCAATATAGTTTAAATAATAAACTGAAAAGATATAGGATACAAATATACTTACAGTCAGCATTCATCCTATCAACATTCTCTAATGGATTAAATGATCCTTTTATGTTCTGAAAAAAAAGTTGAAATAATTAAAGAAATAGGGACTTGATATTAGAAATAGAAATCCAAATGTTCAATATTTAAATGTTTTTAATATCTTGTCCCTTCAGGATGTAAACAATCACAGTTCTCCGCAGATTCCTGTTCTTTATTATTTCTGAATTCCCATGTATCTGTGATAAGAATGATCTTGAACAAAAAAAAAAAAAAAAAATTACCCTGAATTCTTCCTAAAAATTCAGGATGGGGAATTAGAAAATACTAGACACTACAAATACTTTTGTGTATAGATCATTTATAAATAAATTTAGTATAGGAGATAAGGAAATTGAACATAAAATAGGCTGTGCTATAGACAGGTTTGGCCAAAATATTAACTGGAAAACTCAAGTCATATTCTTAATTAGACTTGTCCAATCAAGATTTTCATATGGATGCCATGCATGGTGCCAGCTCTATATAAACTCTTTCTAAGATAAATGGCTAAAAATAGCTTTTAGCATGTGGAGCATGGCAAAAATCCTCCTCCTTTGTTTCTGTAGAACCAGTTCACAAGGTTCAAAGAACTGCACAATATAACAGAAGTTGTGATGACAGCAACAGCTAAAATAGATATCACATGTAAGATGTTGACATTCCACACTACTTCAAATAAAAGGTTAGGAAGGAAACATCCCATCAATACTGTAAAGAGCAATAACAGCTACTGGGCTTAAGAAACCTATTTTCCAGAAATATTGTTTTAAGAGAAAATGTGACAGTAGTACAAATTGCTCAGTCAATGAATGTCAAATGTTTCCTTATCAGGAAAGAGATAATATTTCCATTTACAGCTTTTAATTCAGCGTTGTCCTGTTCTTAGAACGGCTGCCATCTAAGACTAGAGAGGCCAGTTGGCACTGTTATTTAAACCATAGCTATTAAGAGAGGAGATAGAATCATGCATTTTTACAAGGGGGGGAGAGAGAGAGAATGCAACAGACTAAGCTGGAATTTGAATTTTTGATTGCCAATTCCATTTTTCACACATTTCCATAATTCTTGATCAACAGAACATAATGTAGAAATTTGTTTGCTTTACGAACAAAAAGAGATTAAAAATTAATCTTCTTTGCTGGAAAATGTTGTCAAACGTCTAATTAAAAGGTAAAAGCAAAGCTTATTTGCAAGTTTTTACTGTGCTTTTAATAACACTATTTTTTTTTCTACCTTGTCATAAAATGAAGCATAGAAAATTGAATTAGTCACTAAAATATCATTTACTCATTTAAAACAAAAAAAATAATAAAAATATAAATAAATATCCTCTTTAATACACAACATGTCAGGAGGCACATAATGTGATACATATTCTAACCAAATTTAGTGACCGTTATACATGATCATTATTATCAAACTACATTCTACAGCAAGGAGCTGACTGAAAATTTGGATGTTTTGAGGAGCATGGAACCACCTCTTAACTGCAGTTGTTCCCAGGTCTATCCTGATTTGAGGTGGTAGCACCTGTTAGGGCCCCAGCTATGGATAAATAGTGAACACCAAACAGTAAATCTTTCTAATAAAATAAGTAACAATACATTTTTGTAGCAAAATGACAATGCAATATTTAAAAAATATAGATCTAAAGAACATACCATTACTGTGAAAGTGTAAAATTACATACAAAATATTTAGATTTTGGTATTTGATAACCCCCAGAGGTTGACATGCTGCCAAACAAAATCAAACAACAACCATAAAAGAGATTTCATAACATTAGACCATATAATATCCTATGCTTTCTTAAATCAAACGTATTCCAAAATATAACTTCAACTACAACATAAAACACACATATCATCACCTTTAGTAATTATATCCACACAAACCTGTATATGCACAAAAGCTGAGTATCATCTACCATGTATTCAATTGTGAAAGCAGAATAATGTATATCATATTTATATTAATCTAAAGCTCCCAAGAAAATTAAATTTCAGCATTAAATGACCCACAAGGAGTTGACATGTCATTAAAGAAACAAACATATCAATCAACCTTATACATCAATGATTTTATGATGTGACTAGTCAAGATTACATTTTTCCAAAAGATAAAAGTAGAAATTAGCCTTACCTACTTAAAGAAGGTTGGTCTATACCACAAATGATAGCACTAAATAATTCTGTTTACAAGCCATACATTTAAAAAAAATCTTTTTGGCACTTATTAACCAACAGAGTTGATATGCCATTAAAATAAAACAATCAGTCAAGACAGTTCCTAAAAAATATAAAATTAAAAATAAATAAATTTCTATTTATGTCCATCCATCTGTAACAAAATGGGAAGAACGAAGAGGAGGCTTTCTCTTTCATCAAAATTTCTGCTGCCAGGCAGAGAGGAACCCAGATGAGGTTATGGCAGAATCTTGTTTGGGGAGGTAGACAAACCTGACCCCATGTATACAGGGTCTACAGGCAATTTTTTTCCTGAGCCTATGGGCTTTGAACATCCCACATTAAAAACTGGCCTTCTACCACATCTTGCCTTGTGGGGAGATTAGTAAATAGAGGGCTATATTTAATGCTGATAAGACAGTGTGCTCATACAGGAACTTATAACTATTAATGGGATTATAAAATTTGCTGAAGAAATATTTACACAAATCTACAAATACTCCAAAATAGAATTTTATTAAAATTAGACTTGAATAATACTAATAAAATATGATGAATATTATAGAAGAAATAACATTTTAATATTATTCAACAATGAAAGGAAATTGACCTTCATCCTACTTTGCTTGAGATAGTGACGTTTCTCTGTTAAAAAAAATATTTTTTATTGTTGGTTTAAGTAAAAGAATTCTGTAATGACATTTGAAATCACAGTTAGATAAACCAATAATAAAAATAGGATTTTTAAAATACCTAAAACATTATGTCCAATTTTTTAAAATCAAGAAAATAAGCGATGAAAATCAATAAAAATAAGGAAGAAAGAGAGACAACATTAAACAATACGTCAAACATGGATTTCCTGCTCTTTGAGCAGCTAAAGTGGAGAAATGCCCTTTCTTTTTTATTTCATTTACTGTGTAAACTCTTCAATTAAGTTTTAGAATGTCATTGTTCTGAGGCCAGGTTTATATCATTTTCAGTTGACAACACACTCAGAGTTAAAAGCATCATTAATACCAAGAATGAAAATCTTAATGAAAAAAATCTAATAATTTTCAAAGAAAAGAAAATGAAAAAAATCTTGAAAAAGAATTTCAAAAAAATTTTTAACAAGAAGAACCAAAAAATTTCTGAAGCAAAAAATGTAAGAATTCTTAATAAAAATCCAAAAGATTTCAGGTAAAAAGTTCAAGGAAATTTTAAAATAATTTTTTAAAAATTTACATAAAATAAAATTGCCTAAAGTTCGACATGTGTGTTCAAAATATAACTGACACAAAAGCCTACACTTACAACACTGAATGTCAGAAGAGAGGCTTACCACATGCATACAGTTTCTTTTGGCTAGAGAATGGGATATATCCTGTGGAGGTATAGTCACTTACATGATGGTCATAAGTTTGGGCTTGTGTAAATGAGGAAAACATTACAAACAAACATACACAATAACAATAAGAAAATATGGTAAATTGTATGTTAATTTCAAACAATTTGACTTTTGTATTTGTGTGTATTTCACATTACAATTGTGATAAGGTTCATGTCATAAAAGGAGTAAGTTACTCCATAATATCACAAGTCCTATCACAGGGTTTTTAACCACGTGTTTTCATCCTGACAGTTATTGGGCAAAGAGATTGAATTTCATTTCTCTTGCCAGAATGTTCATACTTCTAGCAGGAACAATCCCTGTTGCATGCTGGGAGTAATTTTATTATTTATTTTATTTTTTTTTAAAATTAGACTTTATTTTATTTATAATTTTCATTATTATTATTATCATATATTCTATTTACATTTATAATAATAACAATGTTGCCACAATCCTCAGCATATAGATACAATCATGAAATAGCTGATCCTAACTTAGATCCTGAACTATTTGAGATTATCACAACACAAACAGTTCATGGTCCATAATATCACAAGTACTATCACAGAGGGTTTTTAACCATGTGTTGTCATCCCGACAGTACTTGTGCAAAGAGATTGAATCTCATTTCTTTTGACAGGATGTTCATATTTCTGGCAGGAACTGCTCCTGTTGCATGCTGGGAGTAATTTTATTTTTTATTTAATTAATTTATTTTAAGCAAGGTTTAAATTTTTTTTTTATAAATTTTCATTATTTGATCATCATTATATATTATATATTCATTTATAATAATAATGTCCCCACAATCCTCAGCTTATTGATACAATCATTAGTGCTGAAATAGCTGATCCTAACTTAGATCCTGAACTATATGAGATTATCACAACACAAATGGTTTATGGTCCTTGTGGTACAATGAACCCACAAGCAGCATGTATGAAAAATGAACAATTATCCAAAACACTTCATTAATGAAATTAAAACTGAAGTGACAGGATATTCTATTTATGGAAGAAGAACACCTGAAAATGGAGGAAGAACTGATGTCATAGCAAGAAATAGGCAAACTGATAAAATTGATAATAAATGAATTGTTCTTTATTCTCCTATTCTTTCAGCAGCATTTAAAGGATATATTAATGTAGAACTATACTGTTCTGTTTGAGCCATCATATACATATAGAAGTATATTGATAAAGAATGTGATTTTAAGACATTTTTTATGTTTAACATTCTTTTTATAGATACAAATATTTAAGTAAATGCTCTGTTTTATAATAAACAGTATTAACAACATTTACCGGCCTGAATGTCCAAGAAATTTTCGTAGAAAATATGCGTCCTCCGACAGGAATCAAACCTGTATCCCATACAGACCCGTCATATAGCCTGACGTGCTTTTACCGATTGAGCCACAGAGGAGTGTTTCGGTTAGCAAGGTCGATTTTACTGTATAAATATAAAAAAT